TTGCAATTTCATGAATCATATGTGTGAATTACACCTTGATTTTCAAAACACTTGAAGCTTCTTTATTAGAATTATGCTTTATGTGGTGCTGAGGAATCGAACCCAGGGCCTCAGGCATGCAAGGCAAGCACTCTACCACTGAGCCACCTTCCCAGCCTATTAGAATTATGTGTGTACCTTTTATTAAGTATCTTTATTACATCATTATTTTAAGCATTAGTAGAAAAAGTGTGTTATTTTAGGGAAATACACAGAGAATTAAGATAAGATTTGATAAATTTATATTATAAAAAGGACTAATTTGGTGATTACCTCTTTGATTAATATAGGCAACTACCACAAAACTAACAGGTTAAAAAGAGTCACACTGCACAATTTTTTGTTTTTTAAATCTTGAAATCTCTGTAAAATTTAGTGATATTTAGGAATTCCAAAGATTCTACATCCATGATCTGATAGAAGAAACAATATGTATGGTTTTACTAGATTACCAAAGGGCCTGAGGGAGGCAGTCTGAAAGCCACACTTAGAAAGTATTTGTGTGATTGAACATGTCTAGAGTTGCCAAGGAGACAAGTGAAGTTAAAAATATCAGCAAATGAAGGTGAAAGTCTATGTATTATTTACATTGTGGTGAAGTATTTAAACCATTCTGAAATTCTTTACATTGTGGTGAAGTATTTAAACTATTCTGAAATATTCTGACAAAAAAACTTGTTGAACATAGTTGACCCTAAGACTTTCAGATTTATGTGATCCTGAAAATTATAACATCAATACATTTTAGAAAACACTGATTAGATGACTTTTTTTTCTTTTCTTTTGGACACTGCATTTTAAAAAGCCTCCCCTCCCATGGGAAGCCTTGCAATACTATTGAGGACCAAATGGGCCTCTAGCTGTCCTGAGCTGATGTTGAAGGTGTGGATATCACAGCTTTTCCATGATATAGTCAAGAGTCACAATGTAGCTGGGCGCTGGTGGCTCACACCTGTAATCCTAGCTACTCAGGAGGCTGAGATCTGAGGATCGCGGTTCAAAACCAGCCCGGGCAGGAAAGACGGTGAGACTCCTATCTCCAGTAAACCACCAGAAAACCGGAAGTGGTGCTGTAGCTCAAGTGGTAGAGCGCTTGCCTTGAGCTGAAGAGCTGAGGGACAGCGCCCAGGCCCAGAGTTCAAGCCCCACGACTG